TGTTGGTAATCCCCCTTTTGTGTGCTGGGAGGGCCCGTTGAACAGTCTCGGGCCCCCCGACACTTATTGTATGGGCCTTTAAAGTGCTATGACCCCCCCTGCTTTTCATTGGGGGGGTGGGGCATCGTCTGCCAATCCTTTTTCTTTCGTAGTGAGTGATTTTTGTGTGCAAGTTTTGGTAAATAATTTCCCTCAAAGGGTTTTCCAGGTGTATATAAAACAGTATCTCTCCCTCCTCGTTCCAGGGGAAAACAGGTTTTTGAAACCCCCAAGCGCTCCCCCGTAATTGAGGTGTTTTAAAACTCCGTTTTTGCGCGCCGTGAAAGTTCTCCCGTAAAATTTTCAAAGGTTTGGGAAAATTTTACCTGGGCCCTTTAAAGGGGCGTTAGAGGGCAGCAAATTTTTCCCCCTAGATAGAACAAGTGACCTGAAAGTGCCCTCATGGGGGTTGGCCTCCTAGTTTTGAAAGGTTCTAAATTTTCCATCCCGTCATTTTTCTAGCAGAATTTCATTGATACAATGGGTTTTGGGCCTTGAAGGTGAGAACCTCCGACATAAACACTCCCCGGTCCCTTTTACGTTGGTGTTTCCCCTCCTTAAAAAAAAAATTTTTGCCCAAAATTTGGTTTTGGGGACTCTGTGAAGATTTTAAATTTTCCCCATGTTTACCATATCTGAGTAATTGAAATTTCTCATCGTTTTAACTTCATAATTTTTTTCTGCAGCCCACTGGTTTGGGGGTTTAGCCGCCCGGAGCCTTTGCAGTGTCTGCAAAGGGAAAACAAATGTCATGCAGATTCGGGGGGTCATCTGCAAAAAGGGAAAAAACGGTGCGTGGTGACAACCTTGTCTAAGTTTGGATAGAGGATGAGGAACAAGTGGGAGCTAGTACTGTGCCTTGTGGAACAGAGCTTTTTAAACCCTAGCTGCCCCGGAAATTTACTCTGTTTTTAGACTACCCCTCTGTGGTTTTTTTGTTTTTGAGGAAATTATAGATCCATCGACCGACTTTTCCTTTATTCCTTTAGCGCGCATTTTGTGCGCTATTACGCCATGGTCACACTTGTCGAAGGCTTTTGCAAAGTCTGTATATATTACATCTGCATTCTTTTTGTCTTCTAGTGCATTTAGGACCTTGTCGTAGTGATCCAGTAGTTGAGACAGACAGGAGCGACCTGTTCTAAACCCATTTTTGCCCTGGGTTGTGTAACTGATGGGTTTCTAGAGGGGTGGTGATCTTGCTTCTTAGGACCCTTTCAAAGATTTTTATGATATGGGATGTTAGTGCTATTGGTCTGTAGTTCTTTGCTGTTGCTTTACTGCCCCCTTTGTGGAGTGGGGCTATATATATATATGTATATATGGGGCTATATATATATGTATATATGTGTGTGTGTGTGTGTGTGTGTATATATATATATATAATAATATATATAATATATATATATATAAATATATATATATATATATATAATATATATATATAAATATTTTAAAATATATACATATATATATATGTAAAATATATATAGTGTATGGAATAAGGTCACAGTAAACAAGTGATATCATTCTGTGCAAAACAGGCACAGAAAAAAAAATAGCGAAATTCCAAGGAGATCGATTTTCAAATCCTGGCCCTGCCTCTAACTTGCCATTGTTCCTTCGTGCACCGTATCGCACTTGCTCTTAAAACTATGTATGAAGCCTGTCTCCGGTTCCTCCCCAAAATCATCCCACTTTCCGACCACTCTTGAGACTGAAAACTATTTCCAAACATCAATGTGGCTCCTCTGTGTCCCAGATTTCCCGTTTCTTGCCTCTCAAACAGCCTATCCCTGTCTACCATATCAGTTCCCTGAGCATTTTGTTATGTTATCATGTCCCCCTGGTTCTTCTATAATGTAGTTAGTTCCGGTTCCGTTAGCTTCTCCTAGTAGTTCATGTCCCTTAGCTCAAGGACAAGCCTTATTGCTTACTTTTGCACTTTCTCCAGTTTCTTAATGTGCTTTTTCAGGTGTGGGTTCCATACTGGTGCTGCATACTCCAAGATGGACCTAACGTAAGCTGTATAAATGGCCCGTAATGACTTCGTTGAAAGTCCTGAAAGCTACTCTGAAATCTGCCAGACGATTCACAGCTCCAGTGTGTGTATTTACCTATTTGTACTTACCTGTTCGTGGTTGCAGGGTCGAGTTACAGATCCCGGCCCCGCATCTTCGCTGATCTCTATGTATGGATCCTGCCTCCACTAAATCACTCTACAGATTGTTCCACTTCCTGACAACTTTATGGCTGAAGAAATACTTCCTAACATCCCTATGACTCATCTGAATCTTCAGCTTCCAGTTGTGACCCCTTGTTATTGTGTTCCATCTTTGAAACATCCTGTCCCTATTCATCTTGTCAATGTCTCTCAGTATTTTATATGTCGTTATCATGTCCCCTCTGTCTCTCCTGCCTTCCAGTGTCGTCAGGTTTTTTTTTTTAACCTCTCCTCGTAGGACATACATTGTGTGTATGCGAGTGTGGAAACGAATACATTCTGTAGAGACTGAAATTTATACTTTAACAATAAACCATATATTATTATATAAAATAATTATGAAATATAAAAAACTATAAAGTATTAAATTTATAGTAGTAACTAATTTTGCTTCTCAAATATTTCTAGACAAGCGAAAGAATTTTTCGAACAGTTATCCACAATTTAGGCAAAAGCTCTCATAAAATGTTTGCCAACCTTGAACCTAACAAAATATTGATAATGATAATTACATAAAACTATATAATTAATACAGGAATCGTTGACATTTCTGGGTTATGAAGAGCATTTCGTTCAGCCTTAAGATCGACACCATGCCCAGCCCTTCTAGGGTAGGATAGGTGCCTGAGCCAGAGCTTGCAGCTCACAAGCCCGCCATTCCCATTAGCCCCCTTGGGGCGGGGATGGCAGACCAGAGAGGCCTAGCTTGTGGCTAGGCCTGGGGACAGTTGGTCCCAAAAATGATGAGGTACTTGTGCCTCCTCACATGGGAGACTTAGGTCTCAGACACTCCCTAAAGAGGGAACCAAGGCCGGGCCACCACTTGGAAAAGGCCCGGGCCGGGAGAATACCGGCGAATCTTTAATAATAATAATTCAGCCTTAAGCTTAACTTATAACTACAGATATTACCGAGATTACGTTGGTGTACATTTATGTTAAAGCTTACAATTTTTTATAATAACTCTAAAAATTGTATTATTTTTTGCAAGACAATTTGTTATAATGTTTGTAGTGATTATGACTTTATGGGCATAATTTAATGATAATAATAATATGAATTCTAATATTGATTAGATAAACAAGGCTGATGGTTGTAAACTGGATTTTAACATTATGTCTACACAAAATTTGGGCCAGGTGAATTAGGTACTTTTGAAAAAAAAAAAATGAAGCAGGTGGCGAGTTGGGAACATTCTGTATTTCCTGGAATAGAATTCAAAATTTTAAGTCCTTTATGTGCATGTAATTATTGGACAGATTGACTCGAACACGAGGTATCATGTGTGTTCTACAGAAGTGGGAGCACTGGGTAGTGAAGTCCATACTGTCTTATATGTATAATGTGTGTTGTCTGTCACCATCTGAATTTGATTAAGAACAAAATATGTATCATATAAGATTCATCCCCTTTAGAGGTAAAAAAAAAATCAGCATTAGAATTGAGAACAAAAAAAAAACGAGACTTGAAAAATTTATTGAAAAATTACATTGATTTATGCCAAGGCACACATACATTTTATTTATATTGTATTTATACAAGACAAAGCATTAATATGGTCTACACATAATATAGTAATGGCAACCATTGTATATACACCGAAAGGCGTGTACCTCAGTGTACACTGTACATACTGAAAGTTTACTTAAATACCTATCTCAGGGACCAACACATCCTTAACAAGTAGTGTACAGGTGACATGTAGCCGTGTAGTAGCTAGGCTTGAAACCCAATAAACTAACCAACAGCCATAGACTACACATATAATAATAATACACTCAAACTATCACAATGGTAACTGAACTGATACAAATGCTCAAATCTATCCTGACACTCTTCAACAAAGTAAACAGTGATTTATTTACATTATCATATCCATGGGAAGCGCTAAACCCGTAACTCCTAAAGCGCCTGGGGAATGGAAGGTAATACGGTTTGATCCGAAAACTCCATTATCCTTGGATCAAGAGCCATTAACCTTGAAGGAAACATTTACCATGACACTAGGCACGACGCATGTAATTTCAGAAATTGTGACATTATTAATAGTCTTAATTTTATTATTGTAAATAAATCAGTAGTAAAGAAAGGCTCCGAATTACACGATCACTTTAAAGAGAATTTAAAGCCACTAATAACTAAACTAATTTAAATTTTACTTCATCATAGCCTTGCCGTTTGTTACCCAGTCTAATATAAACTATGATCTAACTTCATCCAGTCTAATTTAGAATTTCTTAATCCAGTCATTTGTATAATCTTAATATATCTGAATTGAAGAAATTACTAGTTCCTGCATTGAAGGAACAGACTTCAGTTTATATTATTTATTATAGTCAAAACTAAGCGCTGAACCCACAGGGGTTATACAGCCCTTCAGTCTATAGCCCTGAGTAAGGAAGTTCAAGTATTTTCCAATTTCACATCTAATGGTTTAAAATGACATATTTTTGAACATGGGCAGTGTACATATCTCTGGTTTTCACTTACAAGAGCGTTAGTACGTAACATTTATGCTTCCTCCACCTTTCAACTAATTTCCGAAAAGTTGTCTGGAAACGATATTATTATTATTATAATCAAGGGGGAAGCGCTAAACCCGGAGGATTATACAGCGCCTGGGGGGGGGGATGTGGAAGGCATTCAGGCTTAATTCGGGGAACTGGAGCACAGATCCAATTCCCTAAATCAAGAGCCCCTCACAACATCAAGGAACCTTCCTTGAGGGGCTGGGAAACGATAAATTATTTATATATGCAATGGTCAGCGATTAACTTTTAGGGTTTAAAAGGCACCAAAGAAATGAGATGAGTTTTAATCCTTCCTTGTCTTGAAGATGGAGATATTAAAGGGTTTATGGCAGTTATGTTCTTGTTTGGTCAAGATAATACCAATGAACGAGACAATGGTTTGTATTCCCGTAGGTTTTATATACCTACTAATAGAATTTTTGTATTAGAATTTGTATGCTAAAACAAAAATACATTAGTTACACTGAGATAAACATTTAACAGCTGAAGTTTCTGCGGGGAAGGGGGAGGGGGGAATATGGAACATATTATTATTATTATAAGTATGAAAAATAACGAATTAAGGTGTGACGCATAAGCGGGGTTTCTCTCCCTGAAGGCCACAATTATCGAACTTGAGAGAACCTACAAATGGAAGACATAGACTCAGAGACATTTTCGATGACATGTTTTAAGTTCCATATACACTTTGTCATTCCATATGTTTTTAAGGTAACTGTACACAATATGAGACCTAATAAACTTTAATTACTCCTTGCTGCTGACTGCGATGGTGACGTTTTGCTACAAACTCTTGACAGATATCAAATAAATCCAGGGACATAGTCACCTTCACTGAACCACTGAGGGACAGACTATACCATGGTATAATAAAAACCTACATGACCTGAATGAGGATGACATTAAAGCAGAATTGAGCGGGGATTATATCAAACAATAATAATCCACGGAAAGTGCTTAAGACTTAATGATCATACACTAAGGATTGGTCGCACTACAACAGTAGCCTACAAAGGTGACAAGAGATATTTGTACAAAAAATACTAGCTAGATTAAACAATTAGTTGAGCTGTACATCAGAGAATCGAAAACAGTGACTCCAGGTTAGTGTCTTAAGTAAAAAAAAAAAAGACCTTTTTTTAACAAAATAATAAAGAACATTATTATATGAAATAATTTCTGTGCATAACATGGTATTTTTTTAAACCTCGTTCATACTGTTACCTTCCAGTTACGAGTATTGTCAATTATGGAAACACACAAAAAACTAATCTGTAAGTAATAATCAAGAACGTACTTAAACTTGATGTTTCTATTTTTAAAAGCTTTCTACAAAATGTAATATGATCTGAGAGAAGAGAAATTACACTCAAACATTATAAAGTATATTAATATTAGGAATTAGGATTTCTTAAGGTCTGAATCCTGTCCGAATACACAACGTTCAGTACATTGTGATATTGTAAATGCCATAATTATATCGGTTAGCTCTAGTTAAGAGTTTTATCATGATCCTTAGTGGGCGACTAAAGTATGTTTTGGACCAACGACTGGCCCAATCTTCGGTCAAGATTGGATTATAGTTACTCGTGGCAGGCAGCTGAAGACGAAGTATTTCTTAAGTGTGAATATTTCACCTTAAATTCTGTGAAAACGAACATGAACGCACTCTTAATAATATATTATCAACCGTCCAGTTCTTATGTATATAAGAATTTAGCAATTATTTTGTGCAGACTAGTAGATTCGAATCGACAATCCAACGTATGAAAACCATCCAGCGAAACGTCGCTGCTAGCTTTTGATTAATTGTAACATCTTGTACAAATTAAAGCAACCTACAAAGATGGTGTACCCTAACTTATTAAAAAAAATACTATGCAGACAATGCCCATTTATTAATGAATAATCTTATTAAAACTGGCTTGAGTTACTCTTTCTGTTCTCTTCTACGTTATGAAACAGCTAAAATAAATTTCCATTTTATCTAGTTAATATACTCTCACTCATTCAAAATCTCATATATACATATAGGTCAACCCAACAAAATCGATATAGGTCTAGACAGAGACAGTTAATATTTTCTAGGCTTCAGCGGGTAGCTACTTCATTCTGAAGCTTCATCACTTAATGGTGTAACTAGGAGCTGAAGAGGTTCAGACGTCACACCCACCATGCGCATCACCATATCCACCTGATTGACTGCGCGCAGGTCTGAGGCCGCCAACAGTTTCGCCAAGAGAAGGTGCAGCTGCGTTTCCGCCACACGACGTCCTATGCACGAGCGGCTACCCACTCCGAAGGGAATGAAGGCATGAGAATGAAGGCGCCCGATGGGAGCGCTGCTGGTGGTGGAGATGGAACCTGAAGGCGAGGTGCAGGACTTGGCCTCACTATTAATGGGACAGGTATTTGTAGTAGTGACCTCGGGGGCATCCCTGAGCCAGCGCTCGGGGCAGAACTGGTGAGGGTTGGTGAAGTGTGCTGGGTCACGCCCTGTTGTATACACTGACAGCACCACCATCGTCTGCAGGATCACACAGTTTATGCACGTATAAAAATAACATTTACAATTCTTTACAATAATTCTTTACAATACTTACTGTCTAGCTATTTTTAACGTCCAACTTTTCTAGGTATACATTTAAAAACTATATGAATGTGATTTAATGCTAGTTTATTAATTGAACCTGATTGTCTTTCATTCTCAAGTGCCACTAGACCCCTATGGGTTTAGCACTTACCCTTTACTTGTGCTCTTATATACTCACCCCGGCCTTAACCAGGTATCCTGCCAGCTGTGTATCACATCCCAGTACCCGGGTCTGGAAGGGTGCCACGGGATACATCCTTAGTGCCTCCTTCACCACACCCTTCAGGTAAGGCAGGGAAGATAAATGGTTCCCTTTCACCTCTCGCGAGCCTCCCGTAGCAGTTAATACCTCCCGCCGGGCCCGCTCGGCCTCCTTTGGGTGACGTCCAAGCAGGTATAAGGACCAGATGGCCGTGTGGGACGTCTGTAGACGAGTTTATTTTTTAAATTTAAGAGCCATGGAAAGACCTTCAGCGTGCTGCTTTCCTGTGTATAAGGTGGGAACCCCCGCAGTATGTGGTATATCCTGCTCTTAAAACAAATTACACGTTGAGAACACCTAGTGTGTGGCTACACTAATCTACATGAGTTAAGTGGTGGAAAAACACGGGCAGTGTGCCACTACTTTATTATATATAAAACTCACATGGTAGTAACACCCACAGTTTGTGGATAAGTATTTATGTTTTGTGTACACAGCATAAACATTTTTTGCAATGGTCTTGGGCACACAGGTGTGGTAGGCAGATACGAAGTATGGAAATAAATGGTATAAAATACCGACACAATGGCAATATAAACACAAATGCAGTATAATGTGATCCTTTATTGACTACGTTTCGCCCACACAGTGGGCTTTTTCAAGTTCTGTTTGTGACTTGAAAAAGCCCACTGTGTGGGCGAAACGTAGTCAATAAAGGATCACATTATACTGCATTTGTGTTTATATTGCCAGATACGAAGTATGTTGATTTAACGAAGAAACCCCAATAAAGTAAATCTGACTTATTTGAGTTAAACAGTGATTTCACCTGAAGTTTGTGCTTATTCTTTTATATGTGATAGTAACAATATAGACAAGGCTAGTAATGTTTCCCTCTCACTTCCATCAAATAGTATGGGTTCCATAAAAGAGCTAATGGTGCTTGTGCTGATTAGGCTCAGTAGGACGATGATGATATCCTCAATATTCCACTATAGTTTAGTAGTTTCAAATGTTTCTTTCGCACAGGGCTGAAGTTACTCTTGTGTAAGATGTATATTGGTAGTTGAGGGAGGAGATGGTAGGGGGTTTGGTGAGGTAAGGAGTTTACTGGGGTAGGGGTTTAGGTGGTTGGTAGGTATGCCTAGTGTTACTAATAGAATACCTGAAATTAGAGTCATGATAGGACTAAAGTTGCTACGTGGTGATCAAAACAATGTTGTTTTTAGAGAATTACTAGAACATAATAAATGGTACAACATAAGAACATAAGAATGGAGGAACACTGCAGAAGGCCTACTGGCCCATACAAGGCAAGTCCTTATCAAAATAACCTCTACCCAAAGCTACCCAAGAATTTACTCCCGTACCCAATGACACAAATCAAACCCAGCCCCTCCCACTCATATATTTGTCAAGTTTCTTTTTAAAGCTGCCCAAAGTCCTAGTCTCGATCACCCTACTGGGAAGATTGTTCCACGCATCCACAACTCTGTTAGAAAATCAGTACTTACCTATGTCCTTTCTAAATCTAAATTTATCCAACTTAAATCCATTATTTCTGGTTCTTACCTGATTCGACACCCTCAGTACTTTATTAATATCTCCTTTGTTTATGCCCGTCATCCACTTATACATTTCAATGATATCTCCCTTCATTCAATGTCTCTCCAGAGAGTGGAGATTTAAAGTCTATCTTCATAGGTGAGATTCCTTACACAGTAAATCATTTTAGTCATTCTTCTCTGTATGTTCTCCAATGAGTCTATATCCATCCTGTAGTAAGGAGACCTAAACTGAGCGGTATAATCTAAATGAGGCCTCACTAGTGATGTATAGAGCTGTAAAATAACTTTTGGACTTCTGTTACTTATACTTCTTGAGATAAATCCTAGTACGTAATCTGTTAGCCTTGTTGCACACACTTAGGCACTGCTGTCTTGGCTTTAGATTTCTGCTTACCATGACTCCCAAGTCTTTTTCACATTCTGTATGATCAAGCTCTACTTCACCTAGTTTATAGCTTCAAGGGTTATTTTCATTATCAAGGACTAGTACCTTACACTTATCCACAATGAACTTCATCTGCCATTTTTCAGACCAAGACATTAATTTGTCCAAATCCTCCTGGAGTTCATTGCTATCCTCCTCAGAATGAATCACATGGCCTATCTTTGCATCATCAGCAAATTTGCTCATGTCACTCGTAATCTCTTCATCAAGGTCATTAATGTAAATTATGAACAAGAGAGGGCCTAAAACTGATCCTTGTGGAATGCCACTAGTGACTAATCCCCATTCAGATTTGACCCCATTAATGGATACTCTGCTTTCTATTGGTAAGCCATGCCCTTTTCTTAAGTCTCTTGTGAGATACTCTATCGAAGGCTTTACTAAAATCCAAATAAACAATATCATATTCTTTATCACTGTCTACTACCTCAAATGTTCTATTGAAGAACGTCAGTAAATTTGTCAAGCAGGAACGACCTCTCGTGAACCCATGCTGAGATTCATTAATCAAATTATGCTCTTGAAGGTGACTTCTAATAATGTCAGCTATAACTGATTCTAATAACTTGCCCACTATAGATGTCAGGCTTATTGGACGGTAATTTGAAGGAATGGATTTATCCCCTGATTTGAATATAGGAACCACATTAGCCATCTTCCACAACTCTGGCACAATACCTGTAAGGATGGACGCATTAAACACACTTGTTAATGGATGACTAAGTTCCATCTTGCATTCCTTAAGTACCCTGGAAAACAACTCGTCGGGCCCCGGGGACTTATTTTGCTTCAGTTTGTTTATCTGATAACCATGTCCCTCGTGACAGTAATATTCGTTAATTTGAATTCATCAGGAACTGAATAATTGTTAATTTCTGGAATCTCATTTATGTCTTCCTGTGTAAAAACTGACAAAAAAAATAGTCATTAAATAAGGAATACATTTCCAGTTCGTTATCCGTCAGCTGTCCATTCCCTATTTTCAGAGGTCCTACTTTTTCCTTCACCTTCGTCCTATACACTTGAAAGAACCCCTTTGGATTGGTCTTTGATTCATTAGCAACTCTAATTTCATAGTCACGTTTAGCCTTTCTAATCCCCTTTTTTACTTCTTTTAATCTGAACATATTGGTCAGTAAGGTTAACCTCTCCTCTTCTGATGCGCCTATAAATTCCCCTGTTTCTTCCCTAATAGATGCTTTAGCCTACTGTTAACCCATTTGGGATCGTTATTATTAGCCCTAATTTCTCTCTGGGGAATGTATATACTCTGAGCACGGTGTACATTATTAAGAAAATAAATCATAAACGCAGATCCCTTCGTAATCATAAGTATGATCATCATCAATAAAATTATTAGCTAGATAACCCCAATCGAGATTAGACAGGTGTTCCCTAAGTCCACTATAATCGGCAGAACGAAAATCAGGGCTTTTTACCGTATTATCATTACTCTTGTAGTCCCGGTTAATGCTAAAAGTGATGGATTTGTGATCACTTGCGCCAAGCTCTTCAGTGATCTCCAGATTATTTACGAGTGTTTCCTTATTTGACATGACTAGGTGGAGCAAATTATTACCCCTGGTAGGCTCTGTTACACACTGCTTCAGAAAACAATCCCGAACCGTTTCCATAAAGTCACTTGACTCCAGATTACCGGTCAAAGAAGTCCAGTCAATTTGACCAAAGTTAAAATCCCCTACTATCACTACGTTATTGTGTCTAGAAGCCCTAACAATTACGTCTCAAAGAAGTCTCCCTCTATCGTGATCTAAGCCTGAAGGTCGGTATATTACACCTAGAATTAGTTTTTCTTGACCCTCTACACACTCTACCCAAACAGATTCTGTACTATTCCATCTATTTTTATACCTGTTTTTATGCAACAATTAATATTTTCTCGAACATATAATGCAACTCCTTCCCCATTCCCATTACGTCTATCCACATGGAACAACTTCAACCCTTGAATATTACACTCAGCAGTCATATCCCGACTCTTTAAATCATACCACGCTTCAGTTAATGCAATGACATCAAAGTTCCCAGCACATGCTACCAAACGTAGTTCATTAATCTTATTTCTTGCACTTCGACTGTTAGCATAAAATACCATCATATGTTTTTTCTTCTGCACATTTTTCCTATTCACCTTTGCTTTTTACACAATTTCTGAAATTATTATTACCCAGTGTTACTCCATGACTGTTATTATTAAGATTCATAATATCAAAGCCTAAGTCAATATATCCATACTCATTATTTTTCATTTCTAAACCCATACCTCTAACTAATCCTAGTTTAAAGTTCTAATTATTATTATTATAGAATCCCCTCAACTGAGCTAGCAAGAAAACCCACACCTACCCTGGATAAGTGAACCCCATCCCTGGCATACATGTCATTTCGGCCATAGAAGTGGTCCCAGTTGTCAATGAATGGTACTGCATTATCCTTACAGTGTTTGCCCAGCCAACAATTAATACCAATTGCTCTGGACAACCATTCATTTCCAACACACCTTGGCAAAATGCCACATATAACAAGGTGCCCCCCCTTCTTCCTAATTACGTCTACTGCTGTCCTAAACCTTCTGACTAAATCCTCACTTCTACACTTGCCTACATCATTGCCTCCAGCACTGAGGCAGATAATAGGACTGATTCCATTACCGTTCATGATGTCAAGCCGGCTAACAATATCCTCCATCCTAGCCCCAAGAAAGCAAACCCTCTGTCTCCTACTCCTATCCTTCAAGCAGAAGGCCCTATCCATATACCTAACCTGGCAATCCCCAACATTTTTACCTTCCCTGGTGTCGTTCGTCGTGACGTTCCCAGTAGTCGATTCACATTCGTCGGGTAGCACGGAGAATGCATTAGATGTTTCCACAGCAGTCTCTTCTTCATCGTTTCTACCTTTCCATTCGTCTTCTTGATCATCAACTTCATTCCATGCTGTCCTGCCACTGTCCAGGTTTCCTTCTTGACCTGAGGACTCACAACAGGAGGACTACGAATCCTCTTGTTTTCCTCAGTCAATCGCCGTATCTCTATCTTTGCTACCCTCAATTCCTCCTTAAGCTGCTGGTAAAGTTGCTCGATGGAGGGCATCATGGTTCAGTCCACAGAGAGTACACTAGACACGTCCTCGCTGAGCTTAGTACAGGTCACCACTCAAGTGAATCAAGATAGATTCAAATAACAGTT